CTTGGGTCCCACGCCATACAAAGAAGCCCAACTGGGCAGCAGTTTGGAAGACTACTGAGCACTTAATACATATTGGGCCTAAAGCCCATTTCGATCTGGGCTGATTTGATCAGTCACTTAAAGGGGCGGATCTGAGATTACGTTAAGCCCAAAAGTTTATCTAATTTGCAGATAGGATTAAGAGGAATCCTAATCCAAATACARATTTGGATAAGGGCAACTCCTAATATGATTAGGAGGTTTCTTAATCACCAAGAAGTGGAGGAAACCCTAATTTTTCGAATTACTTGAATTCGAACCCTAGGGGTTTTAGCAGAACACTCTCTGCATTCTTGAGATAGGATCTCAGATAACCCTAGAAAAGAAAATAGCAGTTCGCCACCTTCTTCTCTAGCATTCTCCTCCAGCAGTCGCTGCCACCTTTTCTGCCAGTTTGAGTTCTCAGTTAGAGAAGATCAAGAAAGGTTCTTAATTGTTCGTGTGGTGCTCTCAGTCTTCTATCGAGTTCTTCAGAAGAACCTGGTTCGTGGGACGAACACTGCTGGTTCGGCTCCATCATCACTGTGTCATCTTCAGTGGGAGCTGATCTTGGGATCTTCTTTGGGCGTGAACACCAACGTTGGGAGATACTGCTTCTCTGGATCAGGTATAATCCCTCCCTTCTCTTTTGGTTCAAATCTGGTYTRKTTTGGTTCAAGTAGGATCCTTGAATTTTGATTCTAAAATCAGGAAATACGATTCCCAGTTGGAAGAAAGGTAGGGAAGTTTTGAATTTCGCCCACCCATTCCGCAACCCTTTTGGCGTCCATACAATGGATCCTACCATTCTTTCAGGTTTCGCTGATGTATCATGGAGTGTTAAAGAATAAAAACTTGTTCAGGGACCTCACCTAACAGCTTAAGCATTTAGGTTGAATGGTTCTTTGATATGGTATCAGAGCCTGTTTGACCAAATGGTCTAGTTTTCAGTCCTCATTGTCCCCATTATATTTAAGTAAAGTTCAGTACAAAGTATGGGTGGGCTTGTGCTTGTCCGTGCTTCAATCCCAATAGGCTTTCATGTTAGTGGTGTGTTAAAGAATAAAAACCGATTCAGGGACCTCATCTAACAGCTTAAGATTTTAGGTTGAACAGTTCTTTGATATTGAGGAAGAAACCTTTATGTGTGTTATTGTATATGCTTGCAAGTGTTCAAGTTGCGAGTGCACATGCATGCATGAGAGAGAGAGAGAGTGCATTGATGGTTTCATGCTAAAAGACAATTTAGTTTTGGTGAAAAAACTAATAACCTCAGAGGTTTACAAGAACTATATTGTCTATTTCATGTCAAATTTGCGGAAAATGTCAAATTGCGGAAAACTAATAACATATGTTTGATAACTTAACCTACTGATAATTTCGTTTATCAATCATAAATGCATCAAAAACTACAAAACATGCCTTTCTTAAAACAGTAGTAATTAGCATATAGGGTGCCTTTTAATGGCACATATTGAATATTTAACACCCATAGAAATATAAAAAATGGGGTGTGGTTAGTTGAAAGCTAAAATGCTCCTTTTAGATGATGCTATCAGTGGAAAAAATTCTTCAGCATAGCAGTAAAAATATGTTGCAGTCTTTAATTTAGATGATCTGAGTTTCTGGATGCTCGAAGAAAGTGAAAATCACCTGAGTAAATATTCCCTTTGCTTTTGACACACGTAAGCGTGTTGCTATTTCCCTTGCTGCAAAGCTATCAGCTATTGATACAACCACCATTCCTGCTAGTACAATTGCCAAGTATATTATAACTGCAGTGACTGTCATTGGCATGTCTATTGCAATTGCATCACCTTTTGAAAACATTGTATCAAGAGCATTTGCCACCACCCTGTGAATATTGAACAATGTTGCAACACATCAACACAGAAGACATGTAGGAAAAAAGTCAGCAATTTTATTTGTTGTCATCTGATATCTCCAAAAAGACAGCCTATGAAAATAGTACCAAAAGAATTATAGGATAAGGAAATCATACATTACTTGTTCTCGAAATTCTCTTAATGTCATTCTGTTAATAGGAGAATCATCAGAACCTTCATTCCTCCATACCACAGCAATGCTGTCATTCTGTTTTCGTGGACAATCTGTAGGTAACAAGCAACATTCTGCAATATTTAAAACTGAACCTGATAACCATGTTCCCCCATGCTTTGATTTGTCAGTGGTATCTAGAATACACTTTGGGTCTTCACGAAATATAACAGAAAGCTCTTTCAGAACAATAGACCAGTAGACCTGAAAGTTGTTGACAATTATCAATTCTAAACCAAAAAGGCTGTGTTGTGCTGTTCAACTACAATGTTAACTATAGGCCTATAGCTTCATTATTAACATGATACTTGGTCTTTCCCCAGCCTACCCACCTAAAGGTCTACTTGCTCCCACTATGAGTTATTAAATAAGAACTTTGTCTTTGAATGACCAACTTACTTCTGGATGTTGGACTGAGAACTTCTGAAAGAGGCTAAAGCTTGTTATAGGATCTTTATATGATGTCCCCAACAACTTTGGACCATGAATTTCCATCATACGCCCCAGATTCGTGCTTTTGGACTGCAGCCTGAAATAATGAACACTGTCAGATCATTTGGACAAAGAGACAAAGGATTTTTCCCCCTTAAGGCTCAGTTTTGGAAGAGTGCAAGTACAAATATGTATAGTGCAAATACAAGGTTTTGCACTGAAGCCGAAAAGACAAAATATCCAATATGAGAATTGGCAGTACCTATAAAAAAATTAGATAACAACCCCTGTAGGGCCTGTACCATTTCAAGAAAAAGATTATATTCTGGCCATGTTCGTTTTTGGGTAAGTGTTTCCCAGTAACACTTAGCAGGTAAGTGCATTTAGTTGTATTTTTCTGTCCAAGTAAGTTTTTTGTGTTACCATTTTTACCATTATAGCTTTTTGTTTTAAAAACATGTTTAATGGGTAATTTTGTCAAGCTAGCTTCAGTACATCCTTCCCCCCTAAGGTGGAAAAATTACTTACCCATCAAGGACCACAGTTGGCGGGCATTATCTCAGGTGTCTAATAGATAAATTCAGTCAATAATCTCTAGGGGTGTTCACAGTCTCATTTGATTAGGTTTGGAGAAAATCCCCAGTCAAAACCAATAAAATAAATTACGGATTGAGAAATTCTCGTACCAAAACCAAATCAGACCAAAGCATTCTATCACTGTTTGGTCCGATTTTTAACAAGTTTTCGACCATTATATTGGGCTTAACTCAATTAGAAATTTGCATACTTACATAAATAACCAATATAATTCAAATATCAAATCGAAATTAACAAGTGCCACCTATCACTATTATATAAATTACATTCACACTTTTTCAAACATAAACAACTCTTGGGCATCAAATTAGAAATTAAAAATTGAAATATATATATATATATATATATATATTACTAATTCGGTTTATGGTATGGTCTAGTTCCTAAAATTTAGAAAACTAAACCAAACGAGAAAATTACGGTTTGAGAAATTTTTAAACCAAACTAAACCATTTTAAGGTCAGACCGGACAAAACCGCCAATTTTGGTTTGGTTTGGTCGGTTTTWAAAACCGACCCGAAAATAAAACCACTTTAACCAACGGGTTCCCAGGTCAAATGGTCCAACTACCTCATCCAATCCGAATCCCAGTCAAAATGGTTTTTGGGTCCAAAACCGAATCCAGAGCCATGACCATTCTTGGGTCAAATGGACCAACCGTCCAGTCCGGTCCGCTTTTCAAAACCATGCCCCTAAGGCTGGCATTTGTTTTAGGTGTAAATTCAGTTTTATACCGATGGGAAATGTGAACCGGATGGAAACTGGGACCGTAGATTTTGAAAATTTACACCGACTCATTTTTTATTGTCAAGGTGTAAATTCAATGAGATTATTTGTTTGGAAATCGGAATCCAAATCGGTGTGAATTTCCAACCCAACTTCTATTGCCGTTAATCGATAGATTTCGCGCCATTTTGGAGTAATTCTCCACTTACGAACAACAGGAGAAAACTAACTCCAGTTCAATCAATTGAACAGATGAKAACACAAAGAAAGAAAAGAAAGAACTCACTTTTCTTCCCTTTTTGAATCGAAAAGCTTGATTACATGAAAAATAACAAAAGAAAATCAATAGAAATTTCCAAATACTGAAGAAAGAATCTAACAAGAAAAAATGAACAAACAAAAAGAAACCATCGAGATATAGAGACAACAGAGACGAAGATGACCAGACAAGAAAGAAGTTGAGCATTCAAGATTCATCTGTCTTTTATCTCTGATGGTTTTCTTCGAATGATTAGCTCTTTTCATCGTCTCCCAGAAAAAATCCATTAATTCATCAACAAGAAAGAGGGTTCCTAAGAATCTTGAGTACAGAGGAAGCACAGATAACCGACAGAATAATTGGAAATTCAGTACACGAGCACGGTGCGTCAGAATGACGATGACCCAGATTCTCTGCAACCGGAAAATGATGCAGAGGAGACACTTCCGGTGACTTCCTCGGTTCTGGACTTTCTTGTGGCGATCTTGGTACTTGGTATTCGAAAAGCCCAGAACCACCGTAGACAGAGTAGTTGAGAAGCGAGTGGATTCCGTGAACAGAGATTGCGCCATTGGCGTACAAGTCAGGGTGGGTGATTCGGCTGTCGTCGATAGTGTAATTCGATTTTGAGTTGTTGGTGACGAGAATCGAATCGCCGGACAGGAGTGTTAAAAGCCGTGTCCCGACGATCAAGCGTTGAAGGTCTGAGAAGCTTAGTTGTTGTGGCACGACGTGGTAGAGAAGCATTCGTGTATAGAAGTCGGGAGGGAGAGAGCTGGGGAGGCGAGAGAGGGCTTCGTCGCTGGGGACGAAGAGGGTTGCTGTTATTGGGAAGGTTGAAGGGTCAGTGGTGGAGAGGACTCCCGCCCAGTTACCAAAATCACCGGTGCCAATCAGAGCTTCGACGATATTGTTGAGCTGCTGCCGAGTGAACGGCATTTCAGGTGAAAATAGCGCAGGAGAAGCGACTGCGGCAATAGCGGTTCTTGGGTGTAGGAATGTCAATGTCAAGAGGAGAGGCAGGACGACGTTAGCCATTACCGTCGATGAGTTTTAGTTTTACATCAAACAAACGTGGCCTAATAGTCTCTGATATAGGACCAGGCTCCGCTTGGGGCTCACTCATCTTGGCCCGTTAAAGGCGGGGGCTGTGCACACTGCTCGGGTGCTCTCAGCTGTGCCCTTATGGGCCAGCTTTAGTGCTTTACGGCCCGGATAACGTTAGCTAAACCAAAGTCAGATCGGGGCCGTTTGATTACAGCTAAAATGACTTATTGCGCTGTTAGTGAATAATGAGCTCAAGCTAGAATTAGGTTGATAACCATGATCCTGCTGCTTCGTTCAGTTCAGAAACTTCAGCTATCATCAGACGGCCTCTGAAGTTCTTTTCCTCTGGTGTGATTGATAGGGCAAACCGTTTTCAAAGTAGTAGTTAATGATGGAGAGAGAAGGGTGTGGGAACTTACGGAGAAGGAAACCAGTAAAGAGGAGGGCCTTGGGTGGAGACGTCCCAGTGGGAGTAGACGGTGTAATAGACGAGCTGGTGCAGAGCATGTGGGTGCGAAGGTTTGAGAACCCGTCCCTCTGAGAGCTGGCGCCATAGCTCCTTCGGGTCAGGCGACGACCCTCCCCCTGTTCGACCAATTGCGCCTTTGACAGCCTCGTGGAAAGCTCGAGCTTCATCCAACGACAAACCGGCTCTGATCATCTCCTCCACTCCTAGTTCGCCTAGATTTCGTCTTCCTTTTGCCATCTCTCTCTCTCTCTCTCTCTCTCTCTCTTTCTCTCTCTCTCTCTCGTTTGCCCAAAATATATACAAACACTACAAAAGAGAGTATATGCACAGAATGAGAAGGGTAGGTAGGAAGGACCACGTGGATGGTGCAGGCAACCATAATTCGGTACTTGGCAGTTGGGGTCCGGAAGCTCCACTATTCGGAGGTTGGAACCCGGACCCGACAAATATGGTGTACAATGTACATAGCCACATGGGTGAGCGTGACGAATGGACGATTGACGAGTGAAGTTCAGGCGAATTTGGATCAGATGGCTGTACAAATGAACGATGGAGATCTGATGAAAGCTTGGTAGTTGGGCACAGTGTGACGTGTTGTTTCTAACTTTCTTTTGCCATTTTTTCTGCTTGAGCGCTGTTTTTAGCGTTGATGTTGTTTTTTGAAATGATTGTATCATACCATCATGTATGCATATACGTATAAAATATCCTTATCTAACGGTTTAGATCACTGACACTGAGGTCATGGAGTTGGATCGGATATGGAAGAAAAAAAGAAAAGGTCCCACCGAGATTTGAACTCGGGTTACTGGATTCAGAGTCCAATGTCCTGACCACTAGACCATGGGACCAAGAGACAGTATAGATTTCGATATTTAATAATTTATATCGACTTTACCACGTCCTTATTACCCTCATAAGCCAGATCGAAAGTGTTGCACGTAAAGGGAAATAGGACAATGAATTGTTACCACTCAATTCCATCATTTATTATTTTTGTATTTTGATGAATAAAATAATCTTATAATAAGACACTTGGGATATAATAATTAACTCAAATGCTGTTCATCCATTAGGTTGCGTTTGGAGGTAGTGTAAATCCCGATTCGTTGTTATTTTACACTCTAGTTCAGTTATAGAATATAAAATAATAACGAATATCGATGTAAATAACCTTTTTGTCAGGTTTTTACGTCAGGTGGTAAAATCCTGGCCATCATCGGTATGAATCGAAGGATGTAAATCAGTCAGTCGGTGATGTAAACCCAGCCATCGTTGGTATGAATCAATCGATCGACAATGAAAGTCGGCCATTGTTGTCACTGGTGAAATAGAGAGAAGGATTGAGTTACATTTACATCGATCATCCAAACGCACAAGTGTAAAACGAGCATAAGGCTGGTTCATTTCTTACATTGACAATTCTTACCGTTCTTAAATTCTATCAATATAGTTTTATATTTACATTGCAAACAAACACAGCCTAAGGTCACAAGCTACCTAGTGATTCATTCATTAAAACAAAAGTAATAAGTCGTTGATTAGCCCCTTCAGTTGTTATTGTTTGATAATGGCTAAGTTGGACTTGTTAGGTTGTCTTTCCGTGAATAGGCAATTAAGTAGACCACTAAAAGGCAAACCAATATATTCAGCCAGTTCACTTAATTAAGAATCCTAAAACTAGTTAAAGAACATTCTTTTCCTTTCACCTTCCACATGTCTCAGTGCCATTTCTATAGGGGCCTTTCATGGTGGAATTCGCTTTTGGTCAATGTTTTAAAAACCAACCTAGAGTTCGAACTGTTTTTGCCTCCAGGTCATGGGTCACTAGTTCAATCGTCCCACATGTGTATATATGTGTGTTTGTAATATATAATTTATAAATAAATATTGCATAATTATGTTTTAGATATGTTATATTTATTTTTTTAATTCAGTTTTAATTTTTTTATTTATAAAATATTAAAAATTGCAAATTGAAGCCAAAAAGGGTTTTTTTTTTTGCGAAAATAGCAGGGCCAAGCGCCTATGGAACTCATAGGTCTCAAAAAGCTACTCAAAGTTAAAAAAAAAAAAAAAAAAAAAAAAAGGATCACCCCAATCAGACATCGGAGTGCAAAGTTATGGCCTCTAGAAATTTGCATGCATTAAGTGTGTAACCCCCAACTTGGTGACCAGGTTGAACTAGATGGGTCACACGGTTCTTGACCAAGTCAACAATTTTTTACCACCTAACAGGTTTTGATTGAACTAGATCCAAAATCCTGGCTAAGTGACGGTTCAAACAGTTCAACAAGTCGGGTCAACTATAGGTTGAAAACACTACTTTTGGCATGATAGTTAGAGGTGTCAACAGTATTCAAAAATCYGATTTCAAATTCAAGATTCGACATAATTGAATCGGATTCGGATAATTTGAATATCTAATTGGTCTAGGGGTGAATACGAGCCAAGTCGAGCCGAATATTTGACTATTCGAGCTCARCTCAACAATAAAACATCAAGCTCGAATTCGGGCTTCAGCTCGATTCGGACTAGAAATATCAATTCAAATTCGACTCAAAACAAAACATTTATATTTGAGCTCGGTTCGGCTCAAGCTCGAAATGAACTAAGCCTGCTTGAGCTCGAATTCGAACTCGAATCCAAGCCTATCCGAGCTCGAATTCGAACCTACCCGAGCTTGAATTTGAGCTCAAATCCGAGCTCAGTGTTTACAACCTCTTATTATGATTGTTTTCCATAAACATTTTACATTGAAACCACAATAGAAAAATATCAAAGTTTCTGATCAGTGATCAAAACCATTCATTTTCTTCACTTCAGTTTATGAGAGAACAAAATAACCCTAACCAAGTGTAAAGTAAAAGAAAAAGTAGCCATGCATGTTATAATTTAATTTGGGAGACAACTTTTTAATGAAAAAATGACTTGTAGAAAATCAGAATGAATGTTATTATTCTTCAATTAAAAATTACAGATTTCAAATACATTTTTAATGGCATGGGTGCAACTTGCAAGATGAACCAAAATCACAAAGTCCCTATAGAATCCATAAGAAAATCCAAAATAAGAAGAAGAATAAGAAGACCCGGGGTCGCTGAGTCGCAGATAGTAGGTAATCAGTCCTCTTCAGTGGCAGCATCTTCACTTGTTGCACACTCACACAATCGCACTTGCTCTCTAGTCTCTACTCGTCTCTCACAGTTGCAGACTTGCAATTTCATGTTTGGCAGTTTCATCTCAAACCAGTTTGAGTTCGGCAATTCAAGTCTTCAAGATTCAATCAAGGGTTTTTTCTTTCCCTCCCATCCCAGGCATTAGATAAAGTAAGAAAATATAAAATACAATAGGGACCACAATATGAGTGTGTGTACACCAATAAATTTAAATATAAATTATATAATTATATATGAATATTATATATAAATATAAAAATTATACATATATAGGGTTCAAATAGGCTCGCAAGCCTAACRAACCGAATTGCATAATGTTCGAAGCTTAGTCTGGATCGAGCTGAGCCAAGCTCGAATAGCTCATGAAAAGCTCGGTTCGCATCCACCCCTAAATTGGTTGAATTCGGATATCCTATTCATATCGAATAGCTAATCAGATTTGGATTCGCATATGACCTTATTCGATTCGATAAATATCCGAATTCGACCTATTTTTTTAATTCTTATATATAACATATGAAATATTTAGGATCTGTTTGGTTTGTGGCCAGGATCGGAATTGGAATCGGTATCTCCAGGAATCGGAATCAGAATCACCAATTCCTAGTGCTTGTTTGGTTCAATCAGGAATCAGAATCAAATTCCGACCATTGTTGTTTGGTTCAACCAGAAGCTGGAATGGGAATCAGCTTAAATTTCCAACTTTTACCCTGTTAAAAGAACTTCAATGGTATCGGTGAAGAAACAGAGGAATCCGAAAGAAGAAGAAGAAGAAAGGACCCACCTACAATTCTCGAAAGTTTTGAGGGACTCGATAAGGTTGTTAGAGATATTCAAGATCTTGGAGCTTGGATAAACACCCAATCGAGTTTGGAAGAGATTTTAAGCTGGTTTGAGTGAACACTTGACACGACAATGTTCAACAGTCTCATTGTTTAATGATTGAAATGCTCTGTTAACATTGTAGAAAAAAATAGATAAATTAAATTTATGAATAAAACAAGATAACTGAAGAAGAGGCATGCTTAGAAGATTTTCTGTTTATAGATAGGCTTGGATTTACATTAAAATACAACAAAGAAATAAAATAATATTATTGGATGACCTGTAGAGTGTATGAAGCCAAGAGGAAAGAATAATTTCAGAAGAAGTAGAAGAACGAAGCCATACAATCTGAGACTCATTTACTGCAATTAGATTTGATATGTGGAGATAAATAGAACTCCAAGAGCTAAGCAAAATAGAAACCAAGAGGCTAATAAAAAATTGTAGATAACAGAAATATCTAGGTTGCTGATAGTGGCGAGATTCAGAGACGGATTGGGGATAGACTCCATAGACGTGTCGCTGAGATCGRTGACCTGAAACTTCTCTTCCTTGATGAATTTCTTTGCTCCATCGACTTCCTTAACTCCATTCTCACATAGTGTTCATACATCATGCTTCCATTTTCTGGTTTCTGATATTTACAGAAATCCAGAAATTGAAGAGATGGGATTGGCAGCGGCAATGTTGGTGGCTGATTTGGAAGAAGAAGAAGAAGAAGAGGACGAAGGATGGTCGATGACGGTCTTAACTCACCAGAGATGGGGTTGGTTGACGGTTGTCTTACTTCATTAGAGACGGGTCGTTGCGCCACAGCGGGTAGTATGGAGGTTGATGGAGTTGCTTACACAGCCTTCAAACTTTAACCCCAGTTTGATGATTAAGTAATTGTTAAAAGAAGTACTTGTTCTTAGAACTACTTATTTGTTTGCTAACCCACTTTTCAAATCACTTATTATGTTTTTTAAGTAATTATTGGGGTGAGAATGTTTGGTAAGCTACTTTTCCCATAAGTGCTTATATTTATGCAAATGACAATTTTAGCCTTCACTTCACTCATACATATATACAATACTCTTCACATGTTATACTATACATTTTAATTGAGAGTCCATGTGGACTGCCATGTGGATCCTATTAATAATAATAATAATAATAATAATAATAATAATTATTATTATTATTATTATTATTATTATTATTATTATTATTATTATTATAAATAATATTAACAAATAATGAATAATATTAATAAATAATAAAATACTTTCAGAAATTACTTTTAAATTGCAGTTTTCACAAAATACTTCCAGAAAGTACTTTCAAGGTATAGTTTATATAATACTTTTAGAAAGCACTTTCAAATCGCAGTTTACACAAAATACTTCCAAAAAGTACTTTCAAGGTGCAGTTTACACAAAATACTTTTAAGGTGTAGTTTTCACAAAATACTTCTAGAAAGTACTTTTAAGACGCAATTTTCACAAAATACTTCCAGAAAGTACTTTTAAGGCGCAGTTTTCACAAAATACTTCTAGAAAATACTTTTAAGGTGTTGTGTAACTTACAGGATTGACACCCATTTCAGTGAAGATCTTAAACAACTTGCAGGCAAAGCTCAACTTCCCCTTGGCCAAAAAAACTTACAGGAATGTATTGATCATTATCAATATCAAATGAACCATTACTTCTCTCTTGCACCCGTCTTCCCTTAGACATTGAAAACAACCGAGAGTAGTTGGTAGACTTTACTTCATTGGCAAGTTGATCTACATAAGGAGATGATGACCAGTGATCAATGCTAGAAGAAGTTTCATCTTCACTTTGTGATCTCCCATTTTCAAAATCAATCTATGAATCAATATATGCATCCTTGGATAATGAAGCTATGAAACTCATGATCTCACTAATACTGCCTTCAGATGGAAACATTGGGGTGAAATCCTTTTGTCTGTTTTGTGGGTCTTGCATTGAAGCCTCCATATTATACCTCCATTTGATAATATTTGGCACTAGTGTAACATCCCTTACATGTTTCATGACCCTCTCTGCCCAATCCCACCTCCCTTGATTATGAAGACCAATCCCACCTGCCCAATCCCATCTCCCATGCATCCAATCCAAACCCCTTAGATCTCAATTTCTAAAAGCCCTTTTGAATTCCACCTTCCTGCTTGCTTTCCTCAGAGCAACTAGCAATTCGTTATAGGCGAGTGCATCAAGAACGATGCCATTGTCGCCATTCAAAACTTCAATAAGCTTGTAAAACATAGAAAGAGCAAAACCCAACTAGTTTTTTCTAAGCAGCACAACAATAACAGTTATAAATGCGAGGATTCAAGCTAGTTCCTTGTTTTTCCATGAGATCCAATATTTTAATAGCCGAATCAAACCTACATGATCGGATAAAAGCATCAAGAAAGAGCTTGAAAGTCGCATAATCAACAATGACACCATCCTCCATCAAAGACAACAAAGGACAGAGCTCGTCGAGGTGCCCAATTTGACAGACTACCTAAAAGATTTGAGAGTAAATGCAGAAGAGTGTTTGTAGCCAGGCCTGCGAGAAGCCCATCTAAAAAAATCGATCCTCTTCCAGAGATCGAGAGAGCTTCTTCAGAGAACTTGGAGGACAAGAGATTTGTAGAGTGGGATGGAATCGCCATCGCGGTTCCGAATGCCGGACTCAAAGAGGGCTTTGGAGACAGATGCCACAAGGAGGAGGTTTTGGATTTAGGATGAAGTTCTGAGGAGAGCAGAAGACAGTGTTCTACCATGGCGCATTGCAGATATAGCTTTGCATCATGCAAAAAGACGAGTCACAGCGGATAGAACTAAGTCAGGATTGACCTAGTTGAGCAAAACATCGATTATCAATAGAGATTAGAGAAGCAGTGAGCAGAGCACACAGAGATTAGGATTTGACCTAGTGCTATGCTCGAACAAGGGAATTGGCCAAACGATAGGTCTACCAGCCACTATTCCTCACCGTTGATCGTCGTCGGTGGACCTGCCAACCGGTGCGCCATTGTTGCTAGGGTTGAGGTTTGAATGAGTGGAGAAGGGGGAGGTATAACCTCGTGGGGATATTTTGGTCATTATAAAAAACTGTTAGGGGCTGGTTCGTCCTATTATTTTGGAGAAGTACTTCTTCAAATACTTAAAAGAAAAGCCAACTTGAAGTCACTTTTTCAAAGAAATACTTCTTTAAAAAAAAATACATCTTCCCCACTTTTTTACCAAACACCCATAACTACTTAAAAACCACTTCATGCGTGGCCCCAAGTCTTAAAAGAAGTACTTCTTTTAAGTGTAATGAAGTAAGGGTTGGAATCGAATAGGGTGTTTTCTGTCAAAAAATAAATAAATGGACTGGAATGGGAATCACATTCCTTGGGGTGGGGTCGGGAATGGCCATTCCCCCATATGGGGGAATCCCATTCCAGCAAGAAGGGGAATGGGATTCCCATTCCACTCAACCAAACCGTAGGGTCATTCAGATTCCGATTCCAGGGTCCTATTCCCCCTAACCAAGCAACACGCTTAAATGTTTTATACAATTTATATATAAAATAATTAAATTATATAAATAATTTATATATTTATATACTTTATATAAATAAAATATTTATTGTACATATTTATTAATTACCTAAAATAATTAATTGATTGGATTTGAATCGAATCAAATATTCAAATATTTAATCGAATTCGAATTCGAATATTAATTTTCAATATCCATCGGATATCAGATTTTCTAATCGGATTTGAATTCGAATAGTCTGATTCAATTCGAATTCGATCATTTACACCCCTAATGATAGTAATGTAGACAGGGCTAAAACGGAGAATATGTATTAGATGTATTGTTGTGGCGCCACCCACCAAGTTACTTCATCTAATCCAAGGTGAGGCTCTATCAATACATCAAAAGCTTTAATTTTGTTGTTTCGGCGCTGAGCAATGTCCGGTTATAAAAGGTTATAAATTATTTCAAGGGCGATTGTTTGGTGTTGGTGTATTGGACCTAGCATTTCTTAGCAATTTTAGTTTTTCACAACCAAACAGATTTTTCAATATTAGTACTTTTATAAAAGGAGGTGGAAACCGTGGAAAAGAATTTGCTATTTCTTTTGGCGATGTAAATATATCTTATAATACTGCYGGCAGCGCAGGTGCTTCTAGGTAGAGTCTGGGTTGTTTGTCCAGGATCCACTGGAGTGGATTTCAGATCTGACCAACCAAGACTTAATTAGACCTTAACTGCTTTTGTTTTGTATCTTATCACTGTATTTTTTATTAATGCTATCATCTTGCTAATCTTTTACCAAAAAAGAAAAGAATTTGCCTATAGCAATGTATGGAACAGTTTTGTTTTAGACCTCCAGCGACCCACAAGTCTCTCACAACACATCCCAATCGTGTATTGAGAACATTTCCCAATGACAAGTACAAGAAATGTGTCTGTGGGGTACGCCCTGATGTGATCTCCCAATCTAATAGCTGATGAAAGAAAGAGTGAACAACTGAATGCATTAACAAATCATTCATGACAAAACTTGCCTCTGTTAACTGAATGTCTGAATCCATTGAAAACTGTCTGGCAATGTTATGCATTTCAGCACCGGTAAGAAGTGATTTTTTTGTAAGTTGAAGGGGCCAAAAAGGACATAAGTTGAAGCAGTAAAAGGTTATTAACTAAACATTAGGGAATGGCAAAATAGGATTCATGTAGCCAACCCTTGTATAGTTGGGACAAGGCTACAGGATGATGATGATATTTAAATTCATATGATCATCTGATTTCATCTTTAGAACCAGATTTAATAGAAATAATTATGTTCCTAGAATTAATATCGACCACAATCAAAAGAGTTATTCTATTTATGTCCATTAATTCTCTTATCTCTCTCCTTCCTCATACAAGAGGAATGCAATAGATGGCACAGATCCATGATAACCAAATGCAGAATACAGGAAATACTCGTACAGTAAAAACATAATTAAAACCAGTAAACTATAGAGATGGGGATAGAGTAGAGATAAACACAAAATCACAAATAGAAAAAGCTTATACTAATGTTTAATTATTTATGTATAAAGTATTGACTGCATATGTTGCACTGGTCTGATCAATTACGTATTTTTCAGAGAAAAATCCACCGATGCCTGTGAACTCCATTCCACCCATCCCTTTGATGCCTACATTTTTAGCCGGAGAACATGCTTTTTCCGGGAACCCAGATGGGGATCACGCTTGACCTTGATCAAGTGGCTCAGGGCTTTAACATAACGACTTACCATCCCACCTGTTTTGACTCCCTCCGTGCCTTCTCCTTGCTGTTTGGTCACCAACTGGAGCTGTTTTTCTTCTGTGAAAGTGAAACGATGACCAAGTGAATTCCCACTACTACGACTACCTTGACCACGCTTCACTTCTCCCTCACCATTACCATTGATCAGCTCTTTGACGCTTCTATGATCAGTGGTGTCCTCCTTGCCATCAACTCCTGGAGTAGGAGAACATTTGGCATTCTTCCTCTCCTCAACAACTCTTGAAGAAGAATTTTCTGTTTGAGATTTATAATTGTCCTTCTCTTCATCGACTTCTGTTGTGGGATGATTCCGCTTTTCAGGATGACGCACTGTTATGGCCTGTCGATTGGATCCTTCGAGCTTTACTGGTTTTCTGGTTCTCTTGGACATGCTAAGATCATAATGGCGTTTATTCAGATTGGACTCACTTCCCATTGTCAAACAAGCTTGCAACAAGGCACCTTCCCTGCTTGCTTATCATGCTTGGAGGAAAGGAAGATAAGATAAGACACCTCCGATTGCTTAGCAAGGAACATGGGGTCATCAGAATTTTCTTAGTGAATAATCAGAGTAAGTTCTAGGTTTTCCTAAGAAGTGGAGAGGTAGAATGTCTCTTTCATTTCCTCCACAATTGAAAAGAGGATCAACCTTGCGCAGTAGTAGCCAATTGATTGAGCAGGCTATGGAACCAAATACCAAGATTCATGTCATTGATCACAACCGTCCAATTTCTCTACTTCTCTTGCATTCTATCTTTTTGGTGGGTAAGTTTTGCTTGAACCTCGGCAAAACCTTCAACTACTGGAATGRCAATCTCAACCAACCAAGGTTCAAACCGGCATATCGGGCAAATCAATACTGCTTTTTTTTTACTTTTTTTTTCTGAAACCAGTTCGGGGGGGCGGTTTAGGGCTCCTCCACCCCTTGAACCAGTCAGTCCCCSATACACCCATTATAGGGGTGTATCGAAGGGGTCTCGGAACAATACGTGTCGATATTTTGAACATTGATCTCAACTATAAATTTTCTCAGATTCTGCACTAACCCAACCAACTATTTCTCTATGAAATTATCTCAGATCTTCCACTAAGTTAATTCATCAAAATCTGATCTTTTTGTGAGGCATTGGGTGCCCAGAGTCTCATATTTCATCTGATGGTTGGGAAGAGAAATTAACACCAAAATTTGAATTTATCTTCAATACTTGTTAGTTGTTCTCAAGGCTCATATTTCGTAAATGTAACCTTTCTCTCTCCACCAATATTCTTGTGGTTAGGTAAAATTTCAACCCAACAGCAACGAGACCTTGAACTGCAAATCACATATCTCAAAATACGCAATTAACTGGTGGGTGGGTCGTTACATCAGTGCAGGATTTTGACTGATTGTTTTGACGTAAATGGGTAGTGATGGCTCCTAAAATAAGCAATATTTAGGGTGTGACAACCGTATTTCTGGTGGTCTGAGAATAATATCCACATTTTAGAAACCCCACCAAGTAGATATCCTAGGAAACAAGCCTTCAGATATCATACCTGTATAGTATTGTTAATATACCAGGTTGTTCCCCTTTTCACTGTTTTGTCATCCAAGATATAATGCAGCAAAGAGACAGAGTGATGCTTCCGGTGATTGAAGAACACTGATCCAAGCAAGAATACCTTCTGGTAGACATTGGAAATGCCGAGTCCCATCCTGATACAAATTGATAAAGAGTATTTTGATATCCTGTTTAAACATCATCATCATCATCACATCCAATGATCCAAAGGAAGAATACTTTTGGCCATAAACATACCAAATATATGGAGTCATCCCACAATTATCCAATGAATCATCAACAGATGGGAAAAGTTGGGATTTACAAAAAAGACAAAAAAAATACWTCTAGTATTCACGGTTTACTATTGGGTTATGGTTCCTTTTGCTTATAACATTGACATCAGCAATTCTAAATGCTCTGTAATCAAATTGATGAAACTTTATCTAGCAAATCGCATTGTCCACTCTGCAGCTATTTCATCATGTTTAGTTCTGTCAGTCAAGTACAAGCGAGTAATGCCAGACACGAGAGGTGTATCTACAAGGATGAGATTTCAGAGGTTCAGTAGAAAGAATGACCTCCTAGACCATGTCAAACAAAAACTATGGCAACAAAGAGCATGGAAAGACTTACTTGGGTCCGGATTTCTGAATATTGATTTGATTGCAAGTAGCACCTTTGAGATGGTTAGAGCAGGACTTCAGCCATATTTCAAGATCCCCAAAGTCAAGTTTCATTCAGCACCAACATTGCAGTGGTAGATCCTAGTTTTGAATACTACCTGCGGACAGAAACAGGAAAAGAAAATAGTAAAAAACAACACCATACACAAGAACCAGTAGATGAAAAATCATTAATATACTATGCAGTATTCCTTCCTAGAAAACATGAAGGTTGTAATGAGGAAAGTCACCCCCTCACCCTGCTGCTTACCATACACATTAAACATGCTCATTGGGGTCTGAAAGCAGGGTGCACAGTTGCACAAGTCCCACACAGGTAAGTTCATGAAAAACCAACTCAATTGTTAATTTATCCATTCAAGAGTTAATCAGGATTATTACCACATTTCACCTATYCTTAGCCACACAGTCAAGTATTTGGATGTAGGGTAATTGGGTAAATATCCTACTTAGTGGTTTATCAGCAAACTCATGGAAACTTTCTAGTAATTATTTAGATTATTAAGAAACAGTGGTTCAGGTATCCATATAAAATATAAGGTAAAATCCAAAGTCCAAGCATTATAAGCTGGAACTTAAATGGAAAACATGCATGAGACAGCCATGGTCCAAAACATGGGTATCTTCTGGGAAACACTTAAGTTAGAGAAGCAAAGTGACCTCTATGTAAATTGATCCATATGCAACAATATAAGATCTGCAATCTAAGTATTATATACACAATACACCTAACTGTATAGAATCCACTATCTTTGTTTTTCTTTCTTTCTTTCTTTCTTTCTTTCTTTTTTTATTTTTATTTTTATTTTTTTTTTGGTGGGGTTGAAGGAAGGGGGAGGGGGAGGGGCTAATGGGGTTATCAGTAAGCCACTCCACTAAGTCCAGACAGACAGGGTTATAGGCCCTGCCCTAGCACTGACCAGATTTGAGCAGCTAGCCCACATTGGAACTTTTCCTTAGTTTTCTCTGGAACTTACCATGCCAGGGCATGGAGAGAAGATGACCATTACAAAACAAGAAAGAATGCACGGGTTACATGCAACCATCCAATTGCATTGGCCACCTAGTTGATCATGTGCCTTATCCCATATACATACAACTCAACTCAACTTAGCCTTAACCCCAACCATTTGGGATCAGCTAACCTTCTCCCATGTAGATCATATATTGAAATGATGATGATCTCTTACAAACCACAAAATACCCCTTCACATGGAAACTATAAGACAAAATTTCAACTGCCATCATATTGCACTGAAAAGCATAGATTATGGATTATAATTCATTAGAGGGTGCAACATGAGTGGTCTCAAGTTGAGCATATATTAAAACCAGAATATGCCCTGGGACCAATGTAGTGTACCCTACTTGCACCCTTACTGTTCTTAAGGAGATATATCATGCCTTCTAATATGAAGACTATGATTTATAGCATCACCATAGGACAAGGAAAAATATTTTTTCATGAACACAAAATACTGTGAGATATGTTCTGAACTGATGTTCAATATTTTGGAATGTTACTAAGCATACCTTGGGTGGTTTGAATGGATAATCATGTGGAAATGTAATGTCCAGAAAAAATATCCCACCCTGATATGGTGTGCCTACAAATAAGAAAATGAAGCCAAATCAAATTAGAAGTATTTCCAATTGGCTCATGTCCACAGCACAATTGGCTTAAATTATGTACTTCATTACAAGGTTACTAGTTATTCTTACAAAAAATAGCAAAAGAACTGAAAAGAAAAATATGCTCACCAAGTCATCTCTTAAACCTTGCATGCAACTAAAATCAGAATTTCAAGTTAATACTTCACACATATAGATCAGTAACTATTATATACATTCAGTTGCTTTTTATGGTGCATATGAATAAGCAGATCCCCTCAGAGCCATCAAAAAGAAAATAAAGAGCAGAAAACTTTCATTCAGCAATGAAAGAAAGCCTTAGAAAATGCAGAGATTGTAAGAAATAGTAACAAGTCCAAGAACTGTACCATGCCTACATTATTATTACATTACTGATAATAAAAATATTATATTATTGCATATATATATATATATAGAACTAATGTAAAAACTGGAAAACAAATGGAAGCTCAGTGCACGAGGACCTCACCAATGTAGGGTCTGGGGAGGGACAGATGTATGCATCCTTACCCTGCACATAAAGAGGCTTTTTCCAAGACAGTGGAAAAACTGGAAAAATTGGTGCATAAAAAAGACAGTGGGGAATGCTTCATACAGATCATGAATTAAGTAGACTACACATATAAAACCAATTAAACTTGGTCAATCCATTTTAGTTACTTGACCACAATCACATTCAAGAATCTATCAAAACATAAACTCCCAAAAAAGAGACTATAAACTGTGCTTGATCAATATTTCTTCATAACAAAAATCATTAAATTCTTCCACAAATTTGTAGATTATTTGATAGACCATACTCCTTTGTATAGGGTTTGCATCTCCTTCTTAACCTAGAGCTTTGTTGAAACAAAATTTGTACAGTTGACAAAATAAACAACACTACCAGGAAACAACAAAATCAAGGGTTCGAGTGACACAGATGCCTCTTGCATCATGCTAATGGCTTTATATGTAAATTCACCAAAGAAATATGTTTGCACTTCATGGACCTAGAGAAGATATCATGAGCATATCCACTATAGCGCCAACATTTTTTTATCCTGTCCCCTGAAATAAATGCATGATTGAAACTTCATGTTAAGTTTCAGACTTGCATGTTGAAATACAAAGTCAAAACATAACTAAACACCCACTCTATTCCATTAAAATACAGGATAAAAGTAAGCATAAAATACATTTTAACTAAACACCCACTCTATTCAATCAAAGCACTATTTGTATCACTACTACACAAGTTTTGATTTACCTCCTCTATTCATCCATCGAGGCTGGAGATTCAAGGTGATTCCCAAATTGTTGGGTGGATAAATTAGGGTGGGAGATAATATACTGGCATCATAGAGAAGCTAATCTCTTGGCCACTCTATGAATACCTCATTCAATTGGGTCAGAAGAACAGCAAACTCCTTTGATTAATCACTCCCCTCACCAGAGAAGAGGTAGACAGGGAAGAAACATATTGCAGTCTTGCAGTAGACAAGACCTAATTTGAAAATAGATATGGGGTTGTGCAGTCCTGCAGTAGACAGGGCCTAATTTGAAAATAGATATGGGATTGGAGAGCAGAAGGCTCCATTGTATGCAAAAAAGGGTTGCTTCATATTGATAGAGTGATGATATTTACTGTATTATTTAAATTCTTAACAAAATTCAAATTGTTAGTGATGAAAAAATATATAATAGAAAAATCTTCCTTTTATATGACCAATTAAAACTATAAATCCACCTTCTTGCTTCTTTTCCACATGCACAAGGGTAACAAAARTCCTAAAACTAACTGCTTTCATAATATGGATGGATATTGTATAAATTTGGCACATCATCGATTTCAGGTAGCTAAAAAACTTGCAATCTTTGCTTTGAAATTTGATTAAACATGTATAAGAAAACCTGGTATTAAGGTTAACAAGTTCTGTAATGACCAAAGAAGGTATTCCTCACCAGGAATATCTGCATCCGAGGCCCATTATGATTAAAACATATAAGATTTTCAGTCTCAAATAAATCAACTTTCAGAGAAAAAAGGATAAGAGGAAACTGCTCTCAAGTCTATCCCCCTCTCAAGAATAAATAGCAAATAATAAGGGGGAAAACAGTTCAAGAAAAAAACTAAAGTTCAAGTAGAAATACATGACCAAAATATTTAGAAGCATTCTGTCAGTTTTCTCCTCGCTATATCATTATAATTTCCACGTAAATACAAGTTTTGAATTATCATTTGTGGGTATTTAACTGGACAAGGTGATAAAAGGATGTCATGGAGCATTTCTGAGAAATTAATTGACCGAATTACTACACTATCCACTTCCGTCGCTCTCTTCCTTTAGCTTCTAGTCAAATTAAACAAGCATAAATCAGAACATTCTCTAGGTTCAGGAATGATTAAATTATTTAGTAGTAGCGAGTTTGTAGGAAAGAAGCAGCAACCAGCAGACTCCAGACTTCGAGCAACAAGTGAAGATTGCAGCTGGAGGGCGTTAGAATACGTGATTACTCAGAAAAGAGAGGTTCAATGGCATCAAGAAGAAATAGTGAACTAGGCAAAGAATCGCCTGCCTTCAGAAAGCCCTATATCAGTGAAAGAAGCAGAGAAGCCACATGGAAGATTTATCAAGAAAATCAAACTTAGCAACTGAACTTTGTTTGGAGATGTAATGCAGCCAAAAAAAACCATAATTCAAAATCGTCCATTTCTTTGAACACCAAGAGAATTTTCCAACTTTGAGAGCTTATATGTGTATGAGAGAGAGAGAGAGAGGAGTTGAGTTGGGAGAAAGAAATAAAGGGATACCCGCCTGGAGGACCAATGAAAAGGTGGAGATCCACTGATAGAGATTGTCACCTTTGGGTCCAGCAGAACAGTCGGTAGGTGGGTCCATGTTGAATTCTTGTATCTCCTTCTGTATTCTCTTCCCTGAGGCCGACACAGAAGTGGTCGACGGCCATGACCGACCTCCTACTCCTCCTCCCAACCCTGCTGCTCCAATGCCGGCCGAGGAGCTCGGGTAACTCATCCCCCTTGACATCTCCGATTAGTGTTTTATCACTTCTTCCTCGTCTTCTCCGAGTCGAGTCTTTGGATATTAAGTAATATCCGGCTTATAAGCTTTGGAAAAAGGTCTTGAATGGTCATGGTCAAGCCGCTGCGCGAAAACTCTCCCAAACAAGCACATCATTTGAGTTTTGAGAAGCCATCTTAAAACAAAGCATTCCACTAAATATTTGCCTAGTTTAAGCATCTAAGCCTCGTATTTGATGACCCAAATTCCACCATTTCTCTAGTGTACGTGGATAGTTTATACTTTCCATAAACTWTCAAAATGGTCCGTTTGGTTCACAATCAGAATCGGTATGATCCATTCCCACTCTGTTTTGGTTCAGACAGGAATGAGAATGGGAATTGGAATCAGAAGGAATAGAATTTCATTCCTAAGGGAGTAGAGAATTGAAGGAATGTGATTCYAGCAGGATGAAAATGGGAATGAGATTCTGATTCCACCCAACCAAACAATTAAAATCAAAATAACCCATTCCAAATTCCAATTCCGATTCCAGACCCCTATTCACACAAACCAAACGGGGTCTTAGCATCATAAATGTATTTTTGAGATTTATAGTGGAATTGACAAACACAAATTAATAGCCAATTTTGTCTCCACTCTGGGGCAACTTTTCCAAAGAGTTGTACGAGACATTTTTCTTAAAATTCCTCTTGTATTAAGGCTGCAAATAACTATAATATCCTTTGCATTCTAAAGATATGTTACTTAAACATGCCTCAACCTCAACAGTTCAGTGAAACACCCTTGTTATTTTAATCCGTGGCCATTGTGGAGGTTTACCAGTTTCCAACTAGATATTAACCAGGCTGCAATTTTTTTTCTTTTTTCTTTTGAGTGAATTTAGGGAGACCAAACTACTTTTTTCTGATGACTGATGAGCAACATCTGTCAATAAATATAAATTTGGATGACCAACTACATGAATTCATGGTTTCTACATCCACAGTCATCAAGAGATTGCTTTCTAATATTAATTTTCAACATCAAAGAAAAAAAAATCACAAAGCCTACCAACTGGTTCAAGATGTATACAAATTGAACCAAGTGGATGAAAAGAAAAAGAGAAATTAATGAACATTCTACAAGGTTGGGCGTTGTCAAACTAATTGATCTCCTTCAACTCTTTACAGGACTGCAGCCTCAATAGCACTGCCTTAAACTGCACAAGCTGATGCAAAAATTGAATAGATTTTCCCTTCAAAATCCAATTATAGCAAGTATTGCCGGAATCAGAAAGACTATCCTGGGAACTTGAAGCATGGAGCTCGACCCCATGAGGCCTGTGGGTCCAAATGCTGATGGAGGCGTGAATAACCCACTTGTATTTGAACCGGAACTGTTACAACAGACTAATATATGAAGCCGTGAACAACAAACGACTAAAATAATCTAAAATACATCAGTTAAAGATAAAAATAAGTACTCACCTTCCCATGAAAACACATGAACTGTGGCCTGCAAAGGGTACAACCCATAAAGAATCAGAAAACCATACTGCATTTGATACGGAACTTCAAAATGGACAGTTTAATATTTAATTGTACTGAAAGAACGAAAATCTTTTAAGAACAATGAAAAGGCAGGCATTACTTGCATAAAATTGAACATTTTATTAAATATATTTTGTTACTTTTAAGCTAAAAAAAGTTTATCAAATAATTGTAAAGTTGTACGTGGATCTCTCTTAATGATGCGTCTCAGAGAGAGAGAGAGGACAAGGGTTCCAAATTCTTGGATCATGATTGAACTCAAGGATGTTGGGTTGCAATCCAAGACACTCTTGTTCCTGAATTCAAGCACAGAACAGGTGTGGCAGTTGGGACACATCTAGACACAAAGTTCTGGAGCCAATAAAAAAAACATGTTTAAGAATCACGTTAAAGACAGCTTTTCTCTAAAAATAAATTATAATATTTTTTATGTAAATATACCAACTACATCTGTTTTACTGCAAAATCGCCTACTTCAACAATAGAGAAGAATTTATGGTAACAAAAATCAACCACTCACTACCACATAAAGCCCCCAAGAAATGCATCAGATAAGGGCACAGGAACTTACTGGGATCAACAGTGGTAGTTATGGCTGTACGACCAAAATCACAGGTTGCCCCAGCACTCTGCATTTTGTGAAAATAATCATTGTAAGCATAAGAAGCATGACTCTGGAGATTGTTAGGTTCATAGCATGGCTGCCCCTCTTGAATGGCACTGCAATTAGCTTGTCCCTCCCCACAAGCCCAGTTTAGACCGGACTGCAATAAACTTGAATCAGCATCCGGTTTTGCCACACAGAAAACCCCCACCCCAGAAGAGTTCCCCACAACGCGATCTGAAGTACCAAAGCTTAAAGGATACACAGATGTTCCATTTGTGAAAAACAAACCCCAGTTTTTCTCAGATATAGACCCAGGCCTTTTGTCCTCATTGAATAGCTCATAGACGTATGTCCTGATGGGTATAGTTGGTTGGCTAGGGGGGCCCAAATCATTAAGCACTCGACGAATCAAGTTGTTGTTGTAGGTCTGTGCATTATCTGCAGTTGCATCAGGTTCATTGGCTCCACCAAACCATGGCCAACCTGATTCTGTCACAATGATTGGAATCCCAGAAAAATTGAGAGCTCCCATGGAGTAATAAGTTGCATCAACCATAGATTCAAACATACTGGGGTACTGGAAAAGGGTGTTTGGGTCAACAATCTGTTTGGTCAAAGAAAGTGGCCGAAAAAGTGCATAATCAATTGGAAAGATACCATTTCCTCTGGTGTAACCATAATAGGGGTAGGCATTTAACATGTAAAATGATCCTGTGTTCTTCAAAAATTGGAGAAACTGGTACATGGTAGAGTTCCATGTGGAATTAAAGGTGGCAGTGGAAGGGGGAAAAGGCCTAGGGATCATGTCCATTGACTGGGGACTTGAAACTTTGACCTGAAAATTGAGGTTAGAAGCCAAAAGAGCATGGTGAAGGTAGTTCATGGCTCGGACTAGAACAGGAGCAGCATTGGGTATTGAAGTCAGGACCTCACTACCAACAGCAATTGCCGTGATATTGGTTTCTGGTAAGTAAGATGCAACATTCTTATTGACCCAAGCTGCTGCTGCTGATGGTGATTCTCCAATCCCCAGAACCTCCTCATTCGTCACACCCACCATGACTTCAACACCAGTGCCTGCAAGGGCATTTAGCATGTGACCATCCGCATCATAGAGGCGAACATGAGTGATTTGATTAGCTTTAAGCATTGCCACCACATCTGCAGCTGATGGCAAGTCTGTGACAGCTGTGCCAATGTTTATTCCCACAAATGCACCTAAAAAGTTCATAGAACACAATTCAGAAACTCTCTCTAAGAAGGAAAAAACCAGTTTTGGCTTTCTTCTTGATCATCTGGGCAGATATTATCTTTTTTCAGAGATGTTCCCTTAGCAAATATGTGAATGATTTCAAATAATTGAAGAATAAAATGTATAAAGAAATTCTGCTACCTCCAGTTATATGGTACATATGGAATGAAAAAAATAAAAGAGCCCTGTGGGTGCATAGAGTAAAACACAAGCAATCTTTCATTAAAATARACCAAGAAGTTTAGCAGGAGCTTTAAAGGACTCATGATTTAGTAGCATACTCTTGTTAGATGCGACAAAGACAAAGAACCAAGGAAGCATTCTCAAGAACTTCATAGGATAAAGCTAATACCAGTGGACACTTTTAATCTTTGCAATACACAACTTATCAGATCAAGCTCAATTTTGATCAAAGCTGTGCCTAGTGTGGCATGTTCAGAAAAGGTTCACCTGGAACAAGTCTATCATTAAGAAAATAATAGAAGTTCATTTTTAGTTTGTATCCTCATACTCCTTAAGGACTGTCAAGATTGATCAAGGACTTTGACACCCCAGAGATCCAAGTAGAGGGAGATGGAGATGTATTAGGGTGGCTACACTTTGGTCCATTTGAGACAAAAGGAATAACAAAATATGCATGGACAAATCAAGGCTTAAATAAGTAATTTTGGGAACCCTCTTGCTGGATGTGGGACATTAGCAAAGCTTTTTGTGGTCTTTCCATTGGAAGACATCCTAAGAAGATGGCAAGGGTGGCTGAATCATCTACATTAGTACATTATATAATGCCGATACTTGCCTTGGTTTCCACGCAGACCTTAAAAGTTAAATCAAAGCATGTTATAGCCTTAAATCTACTATAGGCTATGTATTTTTCTCTCTCCTCTTACAGCCCTCAACTAGTCAAAAGGGTCCACTCAACGGACCCACTTGTATCAACAATCATTAGCTAAACTTTGATGGCTGCAGTTTGGGGAACCTAGGACCTTCAGGTATTGGTGGAGTGATTAGAGATTGCAATGACCATATCAAAGCCATCTTCTCAAGGCCAACAGGTAATGGAAATTCAACAAGAGTAGAACTGCTAGCAATATTACAAGGAATAAGGTTGCATAGGATGCTAAACATCACAAATTGTGAAAGGGGACTCAAAGATGGTAGGATGCTAAACATCACAAATTGTGAAAGGGGACTCAAAGATGGTAGTGGGGTGGATGGTAAACAACAGTAAGGGAACTTAACATTGGAAGGATATACTTAAGGAGAGTAAAGCAATGATAAGAGAACTGTGTGCATGGGTCCACATGTCAGCAAACAGCTTTGCTGATTCCTTGTCATAGGATTGTCACAATAGTTAGGACATGTTTTGGGTAATMGAAGATAGTATTCTGTTTATCTCTGCACATGTAACTATACATTAATAATTTTGTTATTAATCATCAAAAATAAATAAGATTCTGCCAAGATAGAAGGGCAGGCATGTATCCAAAGTAGACACACTGAAATACCTGATGCATTGAAAAACATGACGAGTAGGAGAAAAACCATACTGCCTCCTAGCCATTGTTCAGGCATCATCTGGCCTAGCAAGTTTTCTACCTAGAGCTTCAAAATAGTATTTTTCTATCCACTGCAAAATTGTAACAGTCAGATATTCAGCAAAGAGGGGTTACAGAAAGGTACTGATGTACAAAGTTTTAAGTTCAAACAAACCTGATAGTAATAGAAAAGGCAAATAATAAAGAGGGAGGAACAATAGCCACAACCTTCTTAAACTTCACTGAAATTTTGAGCTCTAGAAACAAACCTGTCAACTGCCAAAAAAGATATAAATGCAACTTGGTTGGTTTTTTAAAAGTTAAACATCAGCAACACTGAAGTTCATCAGATAACTAAAAAATAACAATAAGCACCTATGCCAAACAATAAGAACCAAGATAAGATCAAAGGGAAGTGAAGAAAATCCATGAAGTCATTAATAAGCACCATCACCTCATACACCCAACCCAGTCAAACATTGGTGTAAACCAATGTTTTACATAACAGAAGGATAGACATATTAACACTGCATCAATAGGAGGGCATGATTTTGGTTATTGAAGAAAGAGAAATTTTAGCAAACAATGAGTTTATGTTACTCTTGGATTTCTTTGCCTTACAGACATGGTGGGACCCACAAAGGAATCCAAAGAGTGGTTCATGAAATAGATAAATTAACTAAAAAATAAGTGTGGTTCATGAAACATGATCAATAAAGAAGTGCACACAAGAAATAGACAAATTACTCTGTTCAAACAGTACAAGGTTCTAGATGGACAAGGACCATAGAGAAGGACAACTTAACCCTCACCGAATCACAATCCTCTCTGGCCCAGAAAATGATTGTCACCACACATTTGCTATCTCCAAAATGTTCCTTCCATCTCAGATATCCTCTGCTAGCCCAAGGAGCAACCATCAAAATTAAATAACACTACCTTTCATGGTTAAGTGAGCAATAGACTGATACTCAATAAGAAAAGAGTCAACAATCATGCCTTTGAAAGAATCTGATATCAGAATCCAATATAACTCCAGTGGAAACCACTCAATCACCCCATCATCTTGGTGAACTTGACTTCAGAGAAAATATTCAAGCATCTCTCTGTTCCCATATCCACCAGATTACACATGACCCTACTTGAGTACTGAAGGGTTCCCATCTCTCTGTTCCCAAGCAGGAGGATTCTCCACATGATCCAACTTGAGTACTGAAGGGTAATTGGTTTAAATTCCAAAAGGAAGTTCTGCATATCCTAAGGAAAGGAGTAAATGATTCAAAAGATAGCAAAAAAGTGATCCCAWATCAAAAGGCACACTTTATATTGGAGTAATGGATGAAGAAGCAGTTCATCAACTCTCCATCTAGAAGGCATAAGATGTAAGCATGAAGGAAACATCACAAGACTTAAAAATACGAACCCCGCTGTCAGACCCCTCTAAGGAGATGAAAGCATCTCTGCAGTATTCTAAGCTAGCTATTCTAAGGATCATTTAAACCCTTGTGGAACCAGAGATTCCAACAGAGACCAAATGAATAAAAGGTGAAAAAATGGAGCAAAAAGATGACCTCAAAAGTTGGAAATAGGATGAGTCCAGGAAATTTTTTGATCACCATAAAATAAGTCCTCTTAGAACCTAACCTTATCCACAGAGACAACATGATACCTAAAAAACCACAAGGAAAAAGAAAGATTAACTAATTGCTTATAATTGATATATTGAGGCAACTTTATTGGTTAATCCAGCTTCCCAACTTATAGGCTTTAGGTTATGATACAGCTTGTCTTATTAGTATGGAAGGGCATCAGTTTGCCATGATTTTTTTTTCCTTCTTGATAAATGGTTTGAAAATTGTGTTGCCATAATGTATAATCATGGTATAATCAGTTTGCCATGATTATACATTGCAAACTCTCAAAGAACATAATAATTTTAATTAACTAGGCAAGAGGATAAGGTGAATCAATTACCAGAACAAATTTTGACAAACTGACCAAAACAAATTCCAGAATACAGAGGTTGAATAAGACTTTTCCAGATAAATTGCACTAAATGTTATACAGTCACTGTCGTAACAATGAGTGATGATATTTTCTGATTACATGGACCATTGGACTTGATGCCAACTAATTGTGAATCATTTATAAGTTACCGCACTTTTGAAATTCCCTAACGCAGTACCAACTAATTGTGAACTGTCTATAAGTTACTGTGCTTTTGAAGTTCGGTAACCAACAATTWATACTAAGGAAAGAACAATCTAAAGTTGAAGGTTCAACAAATGAAGCAGCAAAAACACACAGGACTATGCCTCCAACAGTCTAACCAGCAGCACCCATCTTGATGCTTGAAGGGAGAAGAAGACAAGATTATAGGGTTAACCCTATCAATCTTCTAAATGACTATCAGGATATCTATCTCATCAAATTTAATCTTTTACAAGTTCCAAAAAATTGCACGCAATTGAACTGTCGTTTGTAGGTTCATTAACAAAGATTATCAGACCAAAAATGTAATCCCACGTTTGCCATCAAACAATAAAGAAAAGGGTGAAAGGAACAGAACTGTAACACAGTCTTTGCCAACAGAAAGAACAAAGTAACAAAAGAAGCTAAGAAACAAAAGGACAAATGAAGAATAAAATAATAGCTTACAAAGTAACACTATGGAGGAGGAGCTAACAAGTAAAGCTTAAGAGTTCGTTAGATCAAGAAAACCACAAGAAAGTAGCAATGAGGAAGAAAAATGAAATATAACAAAACAAAGAGATCAATAATACTAAAAATTAGAACACTTTCTTTTTTCTTGGTTGATAGATTGGAAATGTACCAGACACCTCAGGGTCACTGTACAGATTCAGGAGAAAGCAAACAAATCAAGAAGGGCACAGACCAAGTTTGCCAAACAGCTCAGACCCTTGCATAATGTATTTTGCATGGTATTATGTTGAATCACCAGGTACCCAGGTGATAAGATTACCAGAATACCTGAGATAATTGCAGAACAACCACTTACACCTTGATAACTAAAAGGTTCCAGGGATATGGTAACCAGTGTTGGTACGAAGAAGAAGAAGAAGAAGAAGAAGAAAAAGAAGCCAACAGAACTACAAACAAAATACCCAGATATCGGAAGCCATTATGGGGATTCCGGAAACGAGAAAAGAAGGGAGAAAAAGAAGGAGAAGAAAATAAAGATAACTCTACATGCCATTACAATAAAAAAGCATAAACAGATGTCAATAACAATAAAGAAAAGGAAAATCGAAGAAAAGAGAGAGAGACAGAGACAGAGACAGAGATGTACCTGATCAGAGTTATCGACCTTTTAAACCCATCAAAACACTTGAAGTAATAGGCCTCTACATCCAAGGAGCTACTCACTTCAGACAGACACAAACTCACAGAATACAAAAGAACAAGAATCCAAGAAAACCCCACGAAGATTTTGTTCTAAAACCCAATATGGAACTACAGCAGCCGAAAAAAAGAACATGCGTCAATCACCACATTCATTCTCAAAACAAGCTTTCCACTTTTCTAGTGGAATATATTACAACAAGTGGCTGTTCAAAGTTAAACTAAACCAAGACAAGGAAGGAAAGTAAATAAACAAATACATACCTTCCATCAGTGTTCCCACTCTAAACCCATACACAACTGATTAGTGATTACAAATGGGTAAGAAGTAAGAACAAAGAACCCTATTTTTCACATTAGTTTATCCACATTCTAGTGCTCTACAATCTAGCAGGGATGTTTAGCAGTTTTGCTTAAAATAATGTGAAAACGAGTCTGGACTTTGGAGACTGGACTTCTGAGTTCTGGCCTTCTTGGTATCAATTGTCGCTACCCATTTTTATTGGGCAGTCAGGACTCAGGAGTCAGGACTGGAATTTGAAGGGTCCCTTTTCTAACAATTTTTGCTTTTCTTTTTTCTTTTTTTTTCTTTTTTTTTCTTTTTTGCTCTGCAGTTTTTTCTGTCCCTTTCCACTCCAAAAGTCTATTTCTTTTTCTTTTCGGTTTGAACTTTGTACAGACAGATTCTTTTCCATTTTTAAATCTCCTGAAGACCACGAAAGACATGGGATTGGTCAGGACTTGGATATCCATGACCCGACCCATAAATGAGGTGAGTTCCGATCTCTAAAATCTGAATGAGCAGCCGTCCGGGTTTGGGTCGGGCAATATTCAAAACTTATAATCCATTTAATTTTCCTGATTTGGTTCACCAGAAAAAACTGACTAAAGAATACTGGATACCAACTTGGGCGTTTTTCGCATGTTAGGGTTGATTCTTCCTCTTCCAACCTACCTAACCTGTTTTCTGCCAAAGGATTTTTTTTATTCGGATATATGGATCACGTACTTATCTATCTGGACTCTCCACTCTTTTGACCTTATATCCATCGCTTTGTGCTGTGTTTGACTGCTTGGTGGGGTGCAATATAAATCGCGTTGAGCCGAATTTTGGCATATCTTGATTCAATTAGACTAAAATATTATTATATTTGAATTAAATTCAAATTCAAAATTTATTCTTCTATTTGAGTTCAGTTAGATCAAATTAGGCTCATGAGCTTGCAAGCTGAACATTTGATTGGTTGAATTTGAAAAAAAAAAGAATAATGGAATTCATCTTGAGATTTGAACTCAATAAACATCAACAATGAATCAAGTATAATCCAATTTAAACCCAAACTATTCAATTAAAGTTTGATTCGATTTACGCCCTTAGGTTGTGTTTGGTTTGAAGGAAAAAGTAGGGAAAGGCAGGGAAACCTATACAAGGTTTGTAAAGGTTTCCCTACCTTTCCCTACTTTTTCCTTCAAACCAAAACCTTGTAAAGTTTTTCCTACCTTTCCCTAGTTTTTCCTTCAAACCAAACATAACCTTAGTGTATGTGTTTTGTTTTTTTTTTTTTATTTATTCCAGAAAAGATTCCCTACATGGAAGAAAATGGGAGCCACTTTGGGCGGTAATGCAACAGTGGTCATGCATCTATTGCATTGTCAATATGGGTGATTGTGAACAAGGGGGAGGTGGGGGTTGTAAAAAATGGAACGAATTTGAATCAAATCAAGCAATATTCGAATTTAAATTCCATTAGAGAGTTTAAATCCGACATAAATTGAAAAATAAAAGCTGAATTCAAACTTGATTATTTTATCGAAGATTTGTTTTGAATTTGAATTGAACTAATTGATTGTTTTAGGTAATTAAATATGATATATATACTATAAAGATTTCATTTATATAAAGTATATAAATATAATATTATGTATTAATTACCTAAATAATATATGTATACCCAATTCGAATATTTAAATCAAATTATGTCATGTCCAAATTTTATTCAAGTAAACAGTATGTGAATGTGATATTTAAATCCAAGTATCCAACCAATTACAAAATTCAAATCAATTATGTTGAACCTTATCGTCATCATCATCATCATCATCCATGCTTTATCAATTCATTCATTCTATTTAAAGTCATATTCACTGTTAAATTATTAGTGCTTAATTCATTTTTTACTACATGTACCCATGTCCCTTTTGGTTTACCCTGTGCTCTTTCAGCCCCGCCCATGTGTAACAAACCACTTCTACTTGGCACAGTTAGTCACTTCTCCTAGCCCTAAGCTCTAGTTCTAATTTGGATTTTTTGATACTATTTACACCAAGGTTCAAAGTATCGATGCGTATCATGCCAGTAGCTTCCCAATACGCTCCTACAGGGGTTGTATCGAGTCAAACCATGGTTTAAAGGGTAACCGAGACTTAAACTAACCCCTTTGAATCGATTTTGAAAAAAAAAATAAAACATAAAAAAAGCACCGACACAAGTCAATATGCCTGTTGATATTTAAAACCTTGATTTACACCTATAGGGAAGTCTGTCTCTTATGGTCATGGCCATCCAACCTAGGTGAGCTATGATCAATCCTAAGTCTCCGCTACAACCAGTTAGAAACCTTGCTAACTGAGTCATCCAGCATATTCAGCTCCTCATCTACTAAGCTTCATGTCTTAATTTCCAATGGAGGGGTGGAATGGGCATTAAAGTAATGCAATTTAAATTTGCTTTCCATGAGAATCACCCCTCAAACACCATTTCAAGAATTGGATATTTGATATAACTCCTGAAATAGGTGGAGAAATCATGGATTGCAAAAATAGAAAGGGATTTCAACACTAAAAAAATGGTTTACATTTGGGTGTAGTATTGTTATGTGATAAAATTTTCACTGGTTAGATAATCACCCCCATGCTTGTATTTCAGCATTTAACAAATTAAGTTGGTCGAGTTTAGATAATTACTGGTTAGATAACTACTCTCACTATTTTGTTTTTAATTTGGAATCTTTTTTAACACGTGCTTCTGATTCCTATCTTGGCAGTGATCAAATGCCACCAAACCCTTAAAAAAATATATTGAATTTTCATCATCTAAGAAACTTGCATCACTTATCCATCTCTTTTGTACATTATTATTTTAGCAAYTAATTTAGGAGGTATTTGCCAATGTGAATGGTTGAATTTCCTAAAATAAAAATAAGGGGCACATTAATAAAAATGTATTATTTTTTTCTGATATGACAGTTGTTTTTGTTTTAAAAAGCAAAACATTGATATTGATGAACATAAACGCCGCAAATATATTGAATTAAATGAGATTCATGTATATCCAAATTTGTTTTGTTTATATTTCATGAATAAAACTAATTGAAAGTTGCTTGCATAGCTTAAACATATGATAGTTTTAGTAAAAACACAACATTCAAAATCAACTTTGTGAGTACAATGCATATTTTAAGTACACATATTTAAGTCGATTGAATCATATATAGATAGGGGTGGATTTATATATGATCCAATTATAGATGATTGAATTCAGATCACCCTTAATGGGATTGAATATGGATTTTGACCAAGGTTCAAAGTATCGACACAGGCCGATATGTTGGTACTTTTTTTTATTGGCATGTATCGGTACTTTATTTTATTTTAGTTTTTTTTTTTCAAAACTGGTTCAGAGGGGTCAGCTTAAGTCCCAACTGTCYTCTGAACCATGGTATGACCCGATACAACCCCTATAGGGGCGTATCAGGAAGCTCCCGGCACAAACCTTGATTTTGACAAATGCCATATATTTGCAGCCCTAGTTAATAGGAAGGTTCAAAGTATTGATATGATACACCCCGTATTGGGCGTATTGTATCGTATCTTTTGGTCTAGATACACCTATTTAYAGGTGTTTCAGGACCCCATTAATTTCAATAGAAAAAGACTTAAAAAACATTTCCAAAAATCAAGTTTAGAAAAAAATAATAACAAACATTAACCGGTTGTTTTTTTTGTACCGATACGCCCCTACCGATACATAGGGATGTATTGATACTTTGAACCTAATACCAATAATGTAATCTCCTTATCACCATCAAAGCATATAGATTTTGCTACTAGTTTCTAATTAGGAAGACATCTAAAATCCCAATTGTGTAAAAAAAGACAAGAAGAGTATGCTAAATTGTTGAACAGGGTTTTAAATGTCAATAATTTGTACAATTCAGAACCAAAATTCAAGGGGATGTTTGACACCGAATCTGCTCCTCACGTAGGGTGCCTCACACACACCTCACACACACATCCTACTATGCATTGGGAACATCTCCCGTACTTATAAATTATTATTCACGGGAGATATTCCCAATGCATGGTGGATGTGCATGTGAGGCACCCAAGTGTGAGGAGCAGATCCCGTTTCGATTGATTTTGTTTTTTCAAAACAAAAACTGCCACATCAGCAAAATCATACATATTGGTGAACTTGTCCAAATTCACTACCCACAAGAGACTACAGTCACACATCAAGACAGAATCAATCTCCATTAATGATGACCACATACAATTATGAAACATATCCTTAGATGTGTGGCTGTAGCATCTTATGGGTAGTAGATCTGGTTACTTGGCAACACCCCCAAAATGAAGTTAAAAAAAAACAAAACTTCAAGTGATTTTTTTGGATAAATTTCTTTCATTCTAAAATGTTATATTTGTATTTACTTATCTTATATGTTTTATACAAAAATCTGAAATTTCACATGAAGTATAGGAATTTAAAAATTTCATGTCCGAAATTTCTGGGTCTTGGTTGGGTTACCATAACTAAAACCTAATTTGTTTTCCAAATATGACTAAAATTTAGAGACCAAATATGATGCATTTACTAATATCTATTGCATGTTAGATTAAAATATCAACCAACCATGTTGAAGACATCATATCATATAGAGAAAATTCCCAATTAGTAATCTGTACTTTGGGCTTAGTGCCACATTGGTCYTCGAACTTTAAAATGCGACAATTCAGTACCCGAACTTTCAAAATGTGTCAATCCAGTACCAATCTGTTAACCARCCATTAAGTGGCATTTGAAAATACACAAATGCCCTTTGAGTCTCATCTAAATTTCTTTATCAACTATCCACATGTTGATAAAAATAAACAGTCTCAAATCCTTTGCCTCTTCTATTCAAGAAAGTTGGGGTTATATCTCCGTGGGCATTCTGGTGACTCCAACTTTCTTGAACAGAAGAGGCAAGGATTTGGGACTTCATTTTTTGTCAACGTTTAGATGGTTGATAAAGAGAATTAGATAACACTCAAATGATATTTTTGTCTTTTCAAATGTCACTTAATGGATGGTTAACAGGTTGGTTAATGGCAAATACTAAATTAGCACATTTTAAAATTTCGGATATTAAATTGTTGCATTTTAAAGTTTGGGAACCAAAATAACACTAAACCCAAATTACATGGTACTAATCTGGAATTTTCACTATCATATATTTACTTTGATTGTTTTAATATCTTAAATATTAATATCCC